TTAGTCTTGGGCATGGCCTGTGCGTCAGAATTGCTAAAAACTTTGGGATTATTTTCATATTAATTAGGCTAATAACTACTATTCTAGTGAATCTGGCAAGTAGTTCTGCTGTATGAAATTAAGCTATCTGAGGTAGGCTGATTAACTGGGGCAAGGCACACATGGTAAATAGTGCTTTGCAGTTCATATTGGCTAAAAGGTCTAAACTCTGTACTTGTTATCAGAGAAGGCAGTTAGATGCAAGTTGGGTTTCCTTAACAAAATATAAAGATGAGTCTCTTCATTTGTATTTGGATAGTATTTATTTTGCAGCTTAGTCCGTACCTAGGAGTGAAATAGGTCTAAAATCAATATGAATATCTTGATTTTCACATTAACTTAGACCCTAGACCTCTTTGGTAGGTGAAATAATGGCCCCAAAGATGGGTCTTAATCCTCAGAATCTGAATACAATGAACATGGCAACGGGAATTTAAGGTGGCAGATGGAGTTAAAGTTGCTAATTAGCTGATTTTAGGATAGGAAAATTATCCTGAGTTATCCATTTGGATCCAATGTGATCACAAGAGTCCTTAAATGTGGAAGAGGGAGACAAAAGAAGAGTCAGAGAAAGAGATGTGACAATATACGCAAGGTCAGAGGGATGTGATAAGAGAAGTCAACTCGCTGGTACTGGCTTTGAAAACAAAGGAAGAAGGGCATGAGCCACAGAACGTGGTAGCCTTTAGAAGCTGGAAGAGTCCAGGAAATGAACTGTTCCCTAGAACCTACAGGAAAAGAACACAGTTCTGCCAACCCCTTGATTTTAGCCAAGTGAGTCCATTGTGGACCTCCCAAACCAACCGATAATAGATTTGTGTCATTTTAAGCCACTAAGTCTGTGTCCATTTGTTGCAGCAGCCATAGGAAACTAACACAACTTTCCTATTACACACAAAGAAGAAAAACCCATGGAAATGTGAAAATGCCCTTTTGAGATCAGCTGTTCGGTGGTCCCAGGGCTCAGGGACACATGCCAGCTTTCTCACGTCATATACGCTACGCAGGAGGATTGCAAATCCTACACCTGTCGTATGATGCCTAGCCTCCTTAGTGAAAGCGCAGCCTCTCAGTCCGCAAATCCTCAGATGGTTACGGTGACCAGGATGTGCAAGGCAGTGAGGAAGACGTGCCCAGTAGAGGGAATAGCACTTAGAGCAAGCAAGCTGTCTCCTGTACTCTTCACCATGCCCAGCACTGTCAGCATTTCCGAGGCTTCTAAATAAACAACGCTATCATTTTGAGGATTTGTCACCACACTGATGAGAATTTTTTCTTGTTACATGTGTCTCTTTTGTGATTAGCCCGGTGTAACGTACGTGGCTTGGTGACAACTGTCTGACCCTCCACAGTGAAGCTCTTAATTCTGTTTTCAAAAAGTTCTTCTTTGGAGGTGCCTATTCTGTGAACTTCCCTTCTCATTCGGCCATGAAAACAGATGATATGAGGTCAGTACAGCAAGGCAATCCCTCTGATTTTGGACAGAAGGATATAATGTGAAAGGAAAATAAAAGTTTTAGTTGTGCAGAGCATATGCTGAACTTCATGGTGAAGAATTTCAGTTTCCTGATTGCGTGATGCCTGTAGAGTCTCATTTTTTTACTTCTGTGCTCCCCTTGTTTATTCAGAAAATATTTGAATAATCACCTTGTCACTTTGCTGGTCACCAGGGACACATTGATGAGTAAGACAGGCATGACCCCATCTCTCCTGGAACTTAAAACCTAGTGGGTGTCACAAGAAAGAAAACAGAGATTCCAATACTACATTATTAATGTGTTTATCCACCCACCAATTATTTATGAAGTACTTCTGCTGAGCTAGTGCCAGGAAAAGAAAAGTAAGACACAAGGCAACACTTTAGGTCCTTAAATTAGGCTGGTGGGAAACCCCTTCTGCACAAATTTAATATTTATGGAATGGACTTCAACATACAGAGATTTTATAGAACTGACTCCAATCAGAGATCGAGGGTGGCTGTGGAGTGGTTGGTACATTTGTGTGGCAGGGCCACTTACCATTTCAGTTTTTTGGTTTGTTTTGTTTTGTTTTTTTTCTCAGAGTTACTTCCAGATAATGAACTTAAGACTCCATTTGGAGGGTTTTGGGGTTTTTTGGGTTTTTTTCTGAAAACTTGGAATTGCTCCCAAAAGAAATAAAAATCAAAATCCAAGATGACTTCGCAACTAAGTAACCTTCGAAGAGAGGGTTTTGTTGGCCACCCACATTACAATCATCTGGGAACACTTGAAATTCCTACTGAACTACAGTCTCAGTACCTGACACTCTGGAACCTGTACTTTTCACACGGACCCCAGGACTAAAGTGTGAGGATCCCCAGTCTATCCCACATTGTCATTTTTCTTCATCAACTTGGAACAGCCAGCTCTCTCTAACTTGACTCTAAAGTCAAGAGGTTTCCTAGGGATTTTGAATAAGGCTACCCTCTTAAATCAGTAAACCCCATACATGATGCATGAGAGGACATCTAAAGAAGTAAATGAGCTTATTTAAAAAGGGCTTGTTTATAAGTATTTGATCTGAGAAGGGAACACTCAAGGGCAACCATCCAAGGTAACTTGCATCCAATGCAATTCAAGTTGGCAAGACAAAATATGTTAGTAATCAAAATATTGAAAGCTAATCAATTGCATTTGTAGCAGGTCTTATAAAAGCTTATTAACAGAAGCCTACTTGTTCCTTCAAAGTCTCTTTCTCTCTTTTTAAATTTACTGTTGTCTAGAATAAAGTACTGATAGCATTACCCAGCACAGTGGAGTGGGGGGAGAGGGGTGAAGAGAAGGAGACTGGATTTGGGAGAGAATAAACAACTGATCATCAGAGAGACCTTTTATTTTCTCAGTTAGAGGTGAGTCAGCAGGCTTCACCATTAGCAGAAGGAAGAACTCTCAAAACTATTTCAAGACTCTTGGCTCTGGGTCCCTAATCACTATTCAGTTTTCTGGCTATAATTTGGAGTCCCTGGAGATGTCACTACAGAGAAAGTGCACTGGCCAGAAAACCTGTGTGCCCCAGGGTCCTTAATGTTTATTTTTCTCATTGTACATTCATATGTTGATTTGTGGTATATGATTTTTTTTTCTCTGTTGAGTCTGGAGAGTTGAGCTCCACGGTCCCAACAACCGTTCTCATTATGGAGTCCAAGTAGTTTCTTGACTGCTAACTTGAGTGTCAAGAATCTGTGAGATTCAGTTTAAATGAGCAGCTGGATTCTTTCAGTAACATCTCCAGGTTGTTTCTAAACAACTGTAAAATGTATCATAGACTTTGTAGAGCTGTTAGGAGTCAACATTTTACAAAGAAGGTAACAGGCTCAAAGAGATGAAATGACAAGCCAAGGACACAGGGCAAGAAGGTGGATGGATAGAGACACAAACCTTTTGAACATGAAGGTAACATTGCTTCCACACCTTGCAGTGTTTCTCACAAACACCATTGGGCCCAAGGACTTTGTTTTCATCCACTTACACGCCCATTGGGCTTTTAATGACAATACACCTTTGTTAGGAAGCAGATCCTTCCACAGATAAAATGACTTCATAATTATAGAAGCTTCACATATAGAATTTTTCCTGAGCCCTCATAGCTTCCCAAACCAATATATGTTGATCCATGATGATGCACTTCTTAAGCCTGACATGGATTTCTTCCTCTTTTTTTAGTCATCCAAAAGTACCCCTGCTGAAGCCTATTAAAATTCAGGTGAAGAAAAGATAAATAAAACTCCCTTGCTTGAAAATTCGATCTTCTCATTTTGAAACTAACTCTTAAGCTTTGACAAAATGTTTATGTTCTATTAAAAATACAGCCATCCATCAAGTGTGGTTTTATAGTTAAGAATTAAAAGGGGAGGGGCGCCTGGGTGGCGCAGTCGGTTAAGCGTCCGACTTCAGCCAGGTCACGATCTCGCAGTCCGTGAGTTCGAGCCCCGCGTCGGGCTCTGGGCTGATGGCTCAGAGCCTGGAGCCTGTTTCCGATTCTGTGTCTCCCTCTCTCTCTGCCCCTTGCCCGTTCATGCTCTGTCTCTCTCTGTCCCAAAAATAAATAAATGTTGAAAAAAAAAATTAAAAAAAAAAAAAAAAGAATTAAAAGGGGAGGTCAGGACGCCCCAAGGATGTGATTTACATCCTTAATTATGTTTAGACAGACCTCCTGCACACAGAATTGCCTTCCAATGTAACAGCCATATAAAATTCATTTTTATCTGTTTTGACTTGTTTGTTATGCTGCATTTGCCCAATGCTCACAGAGCTAGAGAATAACAGAAACCAGACCAAAAATGACTGCCTTTTCTCTGGGCCCAAAATGTCATGTATCAGAACAGTCACTGGGCTCCTACCAGTCTGTTGATAGGATTCACGCTGTGACCTCTCCCATTTGTTCCATTTAAATTACCCTGAAGGCATGACTCAGCAGTGCTCTGAATTGGGATTGGCATATGCTGTGCAAACAGCCCACCCTCAGACCTCAGTAACCCCTCACCAGTAGCCTAGGAAAATCTCTATGACAAAAACTTACGGGTTCGAACTCCAGGAGCAGTGGAAGTCCACTGCCAGAAATCTAAATGGTGGCATGGTTCTGAGAATGTGGACGCTGAACAGGCTCCGTGTTGCTGCTTCCCATCCCCACCACTCTTCAGCCCGCTGTGGGCAAGAAGTGTCTCCTCATGAGTAAAGGAGGGATATTAAAGGATATAAAACCCGTGTTTAGGGGCGCCTGGGTGGCGCAGTCGGTTAAGCGTCCGACTTCAGCCAGGTCACGATCTCGCGGTCCGCGAGTTCGAGCCCCGCGTCGGGCTCTGGGCTGATGGCTCAGAGCCTGGAGCCTGCTTCCGATTCTGTGTCTCCCTCTCTCTCTGCCCCTCGCCCGTTCATGCTCTGTCTCTCTCTGTCCCAAAAATAAATTAAAAAAAAAAAAGTTGAGAAAAAAAAATTTAAAACCCGTGTTTATATCATATGGTTGCCATGAGGATTAAGTGACACATTTCACTTAGTGTGTGAGATACATATACAGGAGATTATTTATATAACCAGTCTCTAACAGTTCTAACAGAAACTGGTGCATGGAAATCCTTAAAATGCCATTTACCCATTCATTTTAAGGGACCTTTCCTCTTTGGTACTTAGACTCTTGAACGTTAATAACAAGAAAGGAGAGACAAGCTAAAGAAATGCAATGCAATTTTCCACATCTTTTTTTTTTTTTCTTTTTTTGCTCTCTTTTATTCTGGGAAAGAAGCAATTGAATGGGAACCATGGAGAATTAGTATTGTTGAAGGAGTAAAATAAATCAAAATGAACCTATAAAAATCAGGCTAATCAGCACGGCTGACGTAATAAACGGACAAGCTTTTCAGCTTGGTCGGATGGGTTGACCTGAAAGTTGAATTCACATGGACAGAAAATTGGGAGGAAGATAAGAGGTCGCACTTGCAACACATTCTAAGGTGAGAAAAATCCTTTCCCACCTAAAAATGAGCCTTTTCCCTGCTCTAATCGTCAAAGAGAAAGGGAAAAAGAAATGCTGAGGGACGGAGAGCCCGGGCAGAAGGGCTTACTCATTCTGTTGGTACTGTCCCCACATTGTACTGATTCCAGGAACCTCTCAGCGTCACTAGTAAGGGAGCAAATTATCCACAGCAGCTGTGATTGCCTCCACAACCACAATCGGCTGCAGACCGTGACAGGGCACTCTCCTTCCCTCCTCACTGCGCCCCTCACTTCGGGAGCGGTCACCCCACTCCCTGTGTGCAGACGCAGCCTCTGGAGACTGCAGGGTAAGAAGACTGTGTGATCCGGGCTTGCTGACAAATCTCTGATTCTTGGAACTGTTTGGCAGGGTGGATTTGCCCAATGACCAATTTCCCCTGACTTGAGAACAACACGAGAAAAGAGGAACAGCTGAGATGCCGGGTGCCGGGTGTTGGTGGCTTCCTCGATTATACAGGAAGGGTACTCGATGCCTGGGCGCCGTGCTTCCTGGAGTAGATGCTACCACAGGCAGAGCAGACGGGACCCCAAAACTCAGCAGGGCCATCTAGACACATGTTGTGCACCCTGGGGTTGTCCCCAAATAGCCCAGCCAACCTCCTCCGCTTAATACTAAAACACGTTTGGGAGAATTGAGAAATTGACCTTAGTTTTAAAAAGGGCCTGTTTAGGGGCACCTGGGTGGCTCAGTCGGTTAAGCGACCAACTCTTTGGTTGTTGGTAATTAAGTTTTCTCGTCCCCTTTATCAGTGGTTGGCATTGGAAGGAACATGTGATCTCATGGACCATCCTGTTAGTGCCAGGGGAATCCGCTGACACTAGGGAGGGGTGGGTGACAAAGGGGAAGCAGAGCCCTGGATGGCATCCTTGGGAGAAATCTGAAGTGGGCCTGCCTTAGGATACCCGCCTCTGACACCCAATAAATGTCTCTATTAATTCAAAGCACTTGAGTTTAGTTTTCTTATTTGCTTCTAAAACATCCTAAAAATACAGAAATCTACTTAAAATACATAACTTGCTACATTTTAATGTAAATATGTAGGTTCAATTCTCTAAGGAACACAGAGTTTCAAATGGATGAATGAATGAATGAATGAATTTACTTTGGAAAGCTGGTCTAATTATCACATTTTGTGCATTAATTCTACAAGTCTTCCTTAAGTGTCCACTGTATCTAGCACTATGCTTGACAGTGAAGGTAAGTGGATAAATAAGACTGTGCCCTCAAACTGTTCATGTCTGCTAAAAGATACAGAAGCAAAATTGAACATAGAAAAATACAATGTGATAAGTACGATGATAAAGCTGTGTAACTATTCCTAGGTTCCAAAGAAATGCTGATGCCAGAGCTGTGTTTTGCAAGGTAACTGAGAGCTAAGTCAGGTGGAGGGGAAGCAAATGAGTATTCCAGGCCTCAGCAACATGAACAAAGTCGGGGCATCATCACTCAGACCGTAACATGAGTCATAAACCCTAGACTTGTCCAATGCACAATGTATACTACTGTATAGAGCAACCCTCAATAAAGACAAAGGAAAATGGAAAATGGTGGAGAATTTATGGACCTATAAACTGTCTTTTTTCTGCAGTGGCAGCAGGACTTCACGAGAAGTGAGGTTGGAGAGACACTCAGAAATGTGCATTCTTCTTATAGAATCACCTATGTAACACGTTAAGGAAACTGAGCTCTATCCCATACATAGGTTATTTCTCCTCAAGTATTGTGTGTTAGCATCATCTGGTGAACATTTTTCAAGTGCAGACTTACAGGCCCATCTCCCAGAGATTGATGCCATACATCTGGGGTGAGGTCAGGTACCTGCATCTTTACCCAGCTCTCCAATTGATTCTTCTTCCTCCTAAAATTGAAAAAACAAAACAAAACAAAACAAAAAAAAAAACAGTGGGGCAGGTGTGGTGTCATTGCAGGATGTGGGCCAGTGGAGTGACATGGCCCCATTCGTTTCAGAAGACCACCATTCTGGCCGCCGTCTGAGGAATGGAAGGGGAGCTGGCTCTCTGGAGGCAGTTACCAGATGCGTAGCAATTCCTATGAAACGTGAGGAGACAAGGACGGCAGGGACGGGGAGGAGGCCAAAGATTCGTTCGGCTCTTTGCCAGGCCAGATGGTCTCAAGGCCAGAGGAACACCATGACCTCACATGTTTTCCAGGTTGAGAGCCTCCTTTAGCAAACTCCTTGCAAGTGGGCAGATCCAGAAACCTGTGTGGCATCTCCTGAAGGTGTTGCCACAATTGCCTTTACGGTTCCTGCTGAGGAAAGTCCTGTTCCGGCAGCTGAGCCTGAGGGAGTCATTCAGTAGTTGGTTCCCCAAGAAACCAAAACAGAAAATCCATACTCCTTGTCCTCAGAAATCTTTCATTTGAGGGAGGAGAGAAGAGATATGAACCAAAATATTTGCAAAATACTCCTTCAACTGTCAATTGGGGTACTATGAACTGAGTAAGTGTTGTGAAGAGGAGAGGCTCCAAGAAAAGAAAGAAAGGGGTATGGGGAGATAAGAAGAGGGGTGATGTGCAGTTTTCATCAGGACTTTTGTATTCCTCACAGGAGTCTGGTCAACTGGTTGAGGAGATGAATGAGCCTTCCTCTCCTCAAATCCCAAACCAAGTGTTTAAACACGACTTCAAACACTCCTCTGCCACATGCTAAATGTGTGGCCTTAGGTGAGTGAACTGATGTTTCTGTGCCTTGGTTTCCTCATCGGTAAAATGAGGATAATAATTGTACTACCTCAGACGATGGCTTTGACCAGTAAACGAGTTCACATTTGCAAAGCTCTTAGAAGAATGTGAACACTTTGTAGAACAGCAGGGTATCACCTGGCAAGGTCTTTGAGTACTTCTTGAAATTTCACTTAAATAAAATATGCCTAATGAGTTATATTTCAGCTACATTAAATTCAAACTTGAATTGAAATGAGTGTGCTACATCTGCCACGACTGGCCAGGACCTGTATTGAGCCAAGGTCTCTGCAATCAAGCCTTTGTTCCCCTGCTGGGACAGATGCAGTGGCTCAGAGGTTCCAATACCACACAGACACCTGTGACTGTAGCTATGGAGAAATCTGTGCCCACATTCACAGTGCCACCCTGCAACCTCTCACGGAGGCACTGGTGTCATTATTTACTTAACATTGTTGAAAGTACCTGACTCATTTCCCCCATGGGTTTCCAGCCTCTTGTGTTTTAACCCATGGTTTCTAGCCTTTTTTTTTCCCCCACTGATTTAATTTCTTTAAAAAAATTTTTTTTTCAACGTTTATTTATTTTTGGGACAGAGAGAGACAGAGCACGAACGGGCGAGGGGCAGAGAGAGAGGGAGACACAGAATCGGAAACAGGCTCCAGGCTCCGAGCCATCAGCCCAGAGCCTGACGCGGGGCTCGAACTCACGGACCGCGAGATCGTGACCTGGCTGAAGTCGGACGCTTAACCGACTGCGCCACCCAGGCGCCCCACCACTGATTTAATTTCTAAACACACGGGAAAAAAATATTGGCTAATGCACTTGTTATTGCAGCCTCCAAAATTAGCTTTTTAAGTCTCCCTTCCACAACTGTATTTTTATAGAAAAAACATTAATATTGTTTCTATGTTTCTACCCAAGGGGTAGTAGCGTTTCACTTATGTGTGTGAGGCTCTGAAGTACTTTGGAAGAAAAAAATGCCTTGCAGACAAAAGCCTTCATTTTAAAAGTTTAATTCTCAATTCCACTCCAAAGAACTGTGAGCTGGATGATAGTTAATTCCCATATTTCTGAAGGAGAGTTAGTTGCGGAGACAGTGTCCAGCCAAGCTACCCTTGACTTTGTGCTTTATGACAGTGAAGACACATCAGTGAGAACTGTCTTCTCTGACTCTTTTATAGGCCGAAAGACATTTGTTGCTCTGGGTGAGAGCATTCCATACAAGGTTTCTCAAAGCATGGTTTTTTGCACGATGTATATCAGAAACTCCTAAAGTATTTATTAAAATTTCAAAGGCTGTACCATAAGCCTAAGAAAGCCATCTCGGGATAGATCCAAAACCGCTGATGTACAGCTTCCTCTGTATTTTGTGCATGCTGAAGTTTTTGAACACGCTAATGAGGATTCCAATAGAGGTCACCTTGATGGCTCTGGTTCTTAAACTGAGGAAAGTAGTTAGTCGGAGTTAAAGTTTCAGGAATTAGGGTAATCTTGGGACAAGGAAATCTCTGTTCCTAAAATATTGGTGCATCAATAAGTATTAAACTTAGGGAAATTATAATCAAGAAAAGGGACACAGAACATGAATTATTAGAAGATAGACCCATAACAGGTTGTGGACAACTTAAGGGTTGAACCATACAACGTTTGAGGTTCACATTCTTCACAAATATCCCTTGGAGATGCTGTCAGAAATAGATGCTGGGGCGCCTGAGTGGCTCAGTCAGTTAAGCATCTGACTCTTGATTTCAGCTCAGGTCCTGGTCTCACTGTTCATGAGATGGAGCCCCATGCTGGGCTCTGCTCTAACGGCATAGAGCCTACTTCAGATTCTCTCTCTCCTTCCCTCTCTTCCTCTCTCTCTCTCTGCCCCTCCCCCACTTGTGCATACACTCTCTCTTTCTCAAAATAAACAAATAAACATTTTTTTAAAAAACCCTATTCATTAAAAAAAAAAAGAAATAGATGCCAAGGATGCTCAAATTTGGTATTTGAGGATATGCAAAGTTGACACTATATTGTATTCCCCTATAAGGTTATACATTCTCAAGGACAGAATCTGTGCCTTTTGTATTCTTTGTATCCCTGGGGACTAACACCATGACTGTTAATGACAGATAATAATAGACCTCAGCAAATATTGATTGCATATTGACTGCTCAGTAAATGTTTGCTGAAATGAACTGGGGGAAGGATCACTTTATTGAGAAGAGTCCACTGGAAAGGAAAAAACCCAACATAGTTCAAAAAGATATGAGGGTGAATTTACAAAAGCATGTAAATTGTTGTTATTGAATGTATACCTGACATCTCACTAAAAATGTCAAAATCACATTTTTTTCCATTCTCTCCTGACCATATTCCATGCAATTTTGTTTACAAAGCTTTGTCATTGGCTGTCTCTGTGTCTATGTCCCTTTAGGCTATCCAGAATGTTGTTAACCTTCAACTAACTTATTAGTACAATATATTGAATTTTCGTAATACTGAACTCTAATTTATAAAGTACACTTCAAATAAACTTCTTTGTCTTGATTTATTTTGATCTCTAGGGCTATTTTGTAGTTTATTTCAAAATAACTATGGTTTTAAAATATTTCTTCAAAATGAGGTGGGTTTTTTGTTTGTTTGTTTGTTTGTTTGGGGTTTTGGTTTTGAGAGAGAGAGAGAGAGCGGTAGAGACGGGCAGAGGGGAAGAATCTCAAGTAGACTCCATGCCCAATACAGAGCCTGATGTGGGGCTCAATCCCATGACCCTGGGAGCATGACCTTAGCTGAAGTCAAGAGTTGGACACTCAACCGACTGAGTCACCCAGATGCCCGAGATTTTTTTCTCTTGATCAGTTCCACCGCAATATTAAGTACAAAAGGTCTTCGACTGGTTGTAACAGCCCCTGATATCTAGCTATCTGACAGTTTTTCACAAGTAAAATGGTTCACAAAAGAGCAACCTTGTTGACCTCTGAAAATCACATATGTTAAGGAAAAGAGAAAACCGATATTGGCAAGTTTTGTCTCCCCATAGTACTTGATCCCTTTTCAGGAGTTCAGGGGTTAAAGAAGGATTTAGTTTCAATATTCTTGCAAAACCCTTATTTCTGTTTCTAAGAGAGAAATTTGTAAAAGCAGCTTTTAAATATCGGAAAAGCTTTTACCATTGTTATGAGTCGTATAATAATATAAGCTAAGGGTAAATGAATGAAAAACACATAGATTACCTATCCTGTTGATTATA